GGGGCTGTGAGCGTTACCCCGGAAAGAAAGGAATTGGAAGTTGTAGGAGACGGGGAAGATGGTATGATCAGCTAACAGTGGACAGGAAAGCGGAAATTACATTGGAGATGATTTGAGTTGGTGGTATCGAATACCAGCGGCGTCGGCTTCTAAAATTGGTTTTCATAGCGACCCAAGTGCGTCATGTGAAGCTATTTGTAGACAATAATAATAATAATAATAGTAATAATAATAATTTCTTAGGATTAATTGATTGATTGGTAGATTAACTATTCTGCATCAATTTAATATACCATTTTGAAACGTTTACAGATTGCACAGATTCTGACCCAAAATGTCCATCATGGGCTTTGTCAAACCAATGCAGCTTGGGTGAAAAGATAAACGAAAAATGTCGGAGAAGCTGTGGTTTATGCAAAGGTGAGAGAAGTTTCAGTTCTGTCACGAGTAACGCAAAGGTTCATCAGTGCAGCGCAGAAGTCTGTTTATAACAAACTTTTTTTTAACTCTGCAATTTTACTCAACTCTCAAAATGTGTCTCTGTCCACTCAGGGAATATAGGACAATACCGGCGAAATGTAAGCCAATGAATTGATAGAACACCTTCTTCATATAAATACTTTGAAAACGTGACACGCTCAGGATACACTCAACGAACGATAACCTACACAGGTGCATTTTAAAATATGACATTTTCTTTAGTCTACGACAGACACAAAGAATGTCCTGCCTGGTCTGCGATGGACGAATGTAAAAATTCTAACTGGACCTGGATGGTGGATCACTGTCCTCGAAGCTGTGATGTTCCTTGTAAGTGACAGTTTTCTAATCGAATTGCTCAATTGTATCAACTGAGGGAATGAGACTTGAAACTTGGTTAAAGACGATATTTGCGGACAAGAAGTCAGCAATGTTTGGCACGATTAATATATTTTGCATTTTTCACAAAACCTTAGAATGCTGGAAATTTTTGAAAAGTGAGTGCAGGTTAATTAATACTTACTGTATTACCTCATAACGTACACGTTGTGTTGTACATAACTTACATAAGGTACACGTTGTGTTTCAATCTCCTTTGAAATTTGTACTTTCGATTTTATCCTATCTGCACTCTAGGCTCGATTTGTTTTTGGGCCTTTTTTGGAGTGGAGTAGCTTTATATTGCCCATCAAAATCTGTTAACTCTCAACCAGTTAGAACCATCTGATTCTGTTTTTCAGTTTCAGAAGCCTCATTTTGTGGTGGCAAAGAAAACGGTAATTACCAGGCCCCCACTACGTGCCAAGCATACATAGCGTGTTCGAATGGCGTCACAAGTCACGTGAAGTGTCCCGCAGGAAAGAAATTTGACACAGCTAGAAGGATATGTGTATTAGTAGATCAAGCCGCTTGTACAGTGGTCTTTCCCAGTAAAAAGTCGAAGCCCTTTCTGATAATGACACTGTAAAGAGCAGTTCGTGGTTACACGTTAAGAAAAAACCTGCACCTGACTAAATATACGCGTTGAATAGCGAGAGAATTGATAATGTGCATTGGCTCCATGACGTGGAAACTTAAACCCGCCGTCTAATGAAGATCGTAATAATCACAAAGTTCCAGTGCAACGTTCAGCTTAATATAAAGAGGAGCTCTGCATTTTCAGTTTGGCTTTAGAACTTTGAGTTTAAATAGTAATCACAACTTAGAGGAGTGGCTTTAAAAGAAATGCTGTCATGTACTGGTAGAAACACTCGTAAGCGATCTTCCGTAATATCCAGACCTGCGTTGACTAATAAGCTGGAGCCGTTTGTAGGCATCTTGCTTGATTTACTACTCACTAATCGTACCTTTTAAGCCTGGCTATACTTATGGAAGCGAAACTTATGCAGTGGTAAGGTCCACTGAAGCGGGGAAGCTGAAAACCTCGATGGGAAAGCTCTTAAGAAACTCAGAGGAAAAAAATAAATTTTAAAAAGTCGGTGCCTGTGAGCGGATTCGAAAAAAAAAAACAATTTGAAACGTAACAAGCCAGAAGACACAACAATGACGTTGTGTGATAAACAAATTTTCTCACCAAAATGCTCACGATAATCTTATGCACCACTTGCTCGGCGGCAAGCTTGGCGAGCTTACAAATTTGAGATGCCCGAGCGTGCGATCGCCGATCACGCGCGTCAGAGCAGCTCCGTTGTCTTTCTAACATTTGGTAAAAAGAGAAAGAGGTAAACTGGTATGTAAGACATATAGTTAGATTATAATCAGAATGAAAATATCTTTAAAAAAAATTGAGAAAAATGACACAGGAACAGAGATACGATAGGCCTATACAAAAAGTGATCACATATCCAAGTCAGACCAAAAACATCCCCGTTATGGGATAGTTCGATCCATAATATTCGCGAAGTAAAAGCTACTAAAAAAAAAATACTCACATTTGCTAGCTTTTCGTTCAATGACCTATCTTTGTAAAAAAACAAGACAATTTGTTTCTTACAACCTCCATCATGGTTAAGCGAATCAAGGAGTGTTGAGTGTTGTCCACAAAAAATCTCATGTGAAGAGCTCCAGATCAGCGGAGCTATGGGTGTCCTCGTCGTTTCCATCGTTTGTAAAATTCAATAGAGCGGATGGCTTCGAAGCTATTCAATGCCATTGGCTAAAAATAATAATTCGTAGTTAGCTTATGGCCATCGCGCAATCCAGAGACAGCGATTGATGCGTACCTGGCTCGAGTTACACGTACCAGCTATCTTGAGTCCTGCCCTTTACCTGTGGCCTCAGATGGTATCCAAGACCTTTGGCGCAATTTTTCCTTATACGAACCTGTTCCCAATACGAACCTTTGGGTATGTGTCAGTAAATCAGCTTCCCTAGTTTCGTCAAAACGTCCAAAAACAATATAATTTTCATATGGAAGGTAAGGATTATTTGCATGATCACAAAAGAACAATGATCATGCCTGTAATTATGAAAGAGGTCGTTACAGGTAATTTGAAAAGTAAGAGGACTAGAAATATGGCAGTGTCCTCAATCAGTAAGACCTTTTAACAGGTACCGAACAAAGGAATATCCTACGTACCAGTGGCCGTTTCAATAAACGATTGACAAAACATCGAGAGCATATAGACATGAGATATAGAAAACGAACAATTCTGTCAGTAAGTGCAGCTTACACTACTAACCAAGAACGCAGGACGCGAGAAACGGGGAGCTTACCAAGGGGGGAGAAGCAACGCTTCGTGGCTGTATAAAATGTCATGTGTTTAAATATTAGAGAAAGGAGAGTACTCTAAAGACCGTAAGTCTGTTTTGTTTTAAAATATTCTTTGGCACGTTGAAGGATAAACAACAAAAATAACTCAGTTGAGCTGGAAAGGAAAAACGAAATTTTATACAAATTAGACCTAGGAGAAACAACAAAAAACATTAACCAGTTCAAGAAAACAAACGACCCCTGGTTCGATGTTTCACCTCAAAAAGAATAACGCACGTGATATCTTCAAGCTTCACTTAATGCCACATGTGACCCTAGCACTACTGATGCTCAGTGGAGGAGCTTTGGTTTCAGCAGCTGGTAGAATCAAACCATCGCGTCACGATTTCGCTAAAAGCGAGCTTACTGCGACACAAAAAGAAAAATTTTTGGACGAACACAACAAGTTTCGCGGAATGGTTGATCCCCCAGCAGCAGATATGGAGTACTTGGTAAGTTTTTTTTTATTTTGTTCAGGTAATTGATGCTTAAGGCTGTAGGGGCGTCAACAAGTTCGTCAACAAAGTAGTGTTAAAAATGTAACACCTGTTTATGAGGTCACCTCTAGAATCTATAGACGCGCGATTTCGAGGTTACTTTGTTCTGGATAGATACCTCCCAAGCTTTCCTACATGTAATCCGGGCCCTTGCATATGCGATTCTAGGTAATGTTCCTTAAGGCGTGTGTGGCGTCAAAAAGTATGCTGTTGTGCAATTGCCTGATGTACGTATGTGATTGGGTAAAGTACACCTTACTCCCACCACATAGGATACAATTTCCTCACCTGGTCACCATCCTAAAATATTATTTTCTCGTTGAGAAAAAGTCATTAGATGTATGCCAGCGGAAAAATACCTAAGGACCCTCTTTATTTTTTGCTTGTAGTTTTGGGACGAGGATTTGGCTAAGTTGGCCCAGATGTGGTCCAATCAATGTGTGTGGGATCATGGATTTCTCGAATTCGGTGATGAGTATCCCAACACTGTTCCCTTCAAAGGACAAGTAGGTACGTTTTAATAACTTCTTCCAGTGTCCATTCTACAGTTTGGCCTTGCTAAAAGTTATCTTAACATAACAGAGCCGAGAAATTCATCGGCAAGATAACAGTGTAAATAAATTTAAAAACAGAACAACTTGAGACTCACTCCTATTCCAGGGCTTAGCTACTAAGCACTTAACTGTAAAATAGACGATTCCCAGTGTGGTAAGAGAATTTTGTTTCACCGGATTAATCATAAGAAAACTGATATTCTTGGCTTTACAATGTTTAGCAGGTAGGTGAAATTTCTGAAACAAACCCATTAATAAAACGTCAAGTAGATTATCAAATAAACTTTACAGCTTTAAATTATTCCTAGTGTACGTGTAATTAGGTTATGGGTAAATGCTAACTCGCGGTTTAAATTCAGGTCAAAATCTGGCACGAGAGTGGGGAAAATTACAAAATCCAGAGGATCGTGTAATACGCTGGTACAAGGAGCACGAGTTCTTCAAGTACAGCAAGTTTGCGAGTCCACTGACAGCTGCTCAGTGTTCCAAAAAGCCATGTGGGCATTACACGCAGGTATTCACCACATCATCATTTAGTTCCAGCGACCAGTCTTAAAAAACAAATAAATAAATAAAAATGTAAATTGAAGCTCCCCCTAAGGGGCTCTTCAGCCACAATGTAAACTAAGTGCTTAAAAATCCCCACTGGCAGGAGGCAGACAAGTGGGCTATTTACAGAGCGCAGCCGAGGAGTTGAACCAGGGGCAACCGAGAACAAATCCAGTGAGTGGCAGGGTGGAGGACTGGAACCCGGGAAACCGGATTACAAGTCCAGCAGGCTAACCACTCGGCCACGCCGCCTCCTTTTTCCCCTATGATAACAAATATGTCTGGTCTAATTGGGAGAACTTTTTTGATAAAGTAATCACAACACCCAATTAGACGAAAAGAAATGGTTAAGAGCAGCCAATGAGTACTCCGAGGCAAAACGCGCAAATTGCCTTAAGCGTGGGAAAGCGATTAGTTTTACTTTTACACCTGAGGGGTTGAAAGAAGCGCGCGAGTTTCTGGACCAATCACGGGGCGAGGTAAAACAAAACAAACAGTCCTGGACTACTGAACTACACTCAATTGAAAAATACTATAAAACTTTTTGGATGTCATGGTTTTTCATTCAAAAATGATATTTATACTCCTTGGAGCAGCAACAATATCGTTTTCATGGAAACAATGGACTCGGTGCTGCTTTTTGTCTCTCGCTCTTATGATCTCCTCAACTACTACTCCACAAAGAAATCTTTAATTAATTCGATTGACCCCAGCTAAAATAAACTCACTGTATCAGAATAAAGGCTGATATCTATACGACATATCAAGCAAGATAACTGAAGGAACATCCTAACTACACTTTAAGCCTTAATCTGTTTAAGAGTCAAAGGGTGTTTTTTTTCTCTCGTATTTCATAAGCTTGCGTGGGCCACAACAAGATATCTGGGATGTGGAGTGAAATGGTGTGACAAGGAATTTGGCCAACCGCATCCCTGGATCCCTGGAGAGACAATTGTCACTTGCGACTATGGCCCAACGTAGGTCATGCAAATTCTAATCCACCTTACATATTAGTACTGCATAGTAACCTATCATACTAGCTGGAAAATGCTCTATTCAGCTTTATATGAAATCTGGAAACGCTCAGGGCCGGGTTGTTCAAAGCTGAGTTAAGATAACCTTGGACTAGTGTGAAAAAATCTGATTTAAGATCTGAAAGCTCTTAAACGAACTGCAGTATAGTTCTTTAACGATTGGATACCTTTCAAAGAATAGAGAAATTTTTCCTAGAAAGGCTTTTGAACAAAGACATAAAGAAACCCGGATTAATTTTTTAACCCTGAAGTTAGCGCTAATCAGCCTTCGAACAACTGAGCCCACAACATGAGCTTTTAATACCTGAGCTTTTAATACCTGAGCTTTTAATACCCGAGCTTTTAATACCTGAGCTTTTAATACCCGAGCTTTTAATACCTGAGCTTTTAATACCCGAAAAAATAACATTTGAGAAAAACTAAAACTGTGGCCAAAGGTTCTAGAATTGCTAATCACGCCTGGTCCAACAATCACGCCATTGATTTTGAAAACGCCCCAATTATTGACCAAGGCACTTTTAGAACCAGAAAGACATTAGAAGCGTGGCATACCAGAATGAAACATAACGCAGATATAACAATTCTTGCCCGTTACCTGGACAATACAACATTCTTTTTAACAAATATTCATAGTCATTTACATTCTCATTATTTCGCAGTTCATGTCTTTATTTAAATTCTCTCATCGCTTGCTTTTCATTCATTTTACCCGTCGAAGACTTCAGTTCGGGCAGTCGAAAGCTCGTAGTTTTTAATTATTTTTGCCAGAGATCGTTTTTGAATTTCAACTGAGCCCACAGCAGTTGAGCCTTTCGTCTCAGCAGTTAACATTAACAAAGTGAATCGAGAGACGATCAGACCGGAACAGAAGTTGACGTCACAATAGGCCATTTTACAGTTGTGTGCTTAGTTGCCAAGCCTTTCATTCAGAGTGAGGCTGAAGGTGACCTTGTTGTGATAGAGACCTGTATCTACTTAGCATGATAACAAAGTGATTTACATTTGAAAGGCAGCAAGGTTTGTATCATAACAAGGTCAACCCTAGCCTCACTCCCATTCAAAGGCTTGACAACCAAGCACACAACTGTAAAATGGACTATTATCTATAGAATTTATTCGTTTTAACTGTCATTCTTAGAACTTTGAAAACATCATCCATTAAAGTGTCCAAAATTGTACCGGCAATAGTCAAAATGCGAAAATTGTAGGCGTTAATAAGTTCATATAACATCGTTGAAAAAAACTTGCAGAGGAGTGTGACCTGACTCAGAAACCTTATCAAAGACCGTTTCGATCTTTAAAATAGGCTATGTTTGCAACAAACACGTGGAGGCGCGGTGGCCTCATGGTTAGTGCGCTCGACTCCGGATCGAGTGGTCCGGGTTCGTGCCCCCGCCGGGACATTGTGTTGTGTTCTGTGAGACACTTTACTCTCACAGTGCCTCTCTTCACCCAGCTGTATAAATGGGTAACGGCAATTTAATGCTGGGGGTAGCCCTGCGATGGACTGGCATCCCATCCAGGGGGGAGTAGAAATACTCCTAGTCGCTTCATGCTGCAGAAACCGGAGTTAAGCACTGTCCTAATGGGACACTTGGCTCGTAAACAGACTTTACCTTTTACCTTGCAACAAACACAGACAATTTGACCAATTCTGCAATGATCTCACAATTGTTTCCAAGATGTAAATTGAAAGATCAGTGCTAATCATGAACGACAATATTCATGAACATCACCGGCCTGGCAACATATCTAACGAAGCCTATGCTTGCTTTTAGAGGTAACGTAATAGGACAGTACCCGTACAAGGTTGGTGCCCCATGCAGCAAATGTGCATCTGGCAAAGGCTTTTGCTACAAAAAACTGTGTCGTAAGTAAAGACTTCGAACGTCACTGCTATTGAACGAGAGGAATGAGAGCGTTTCCATGTTTATGGGATTGTATCAAGAGATTTTGTACAAAATTTCTATTTAAATAGCTAAGCGATACTAACATGTTCTGCCCTGCAGTACCACAATTATTTCGTGGTAATAGTTGTATACAGATTAATTTCATCGTTTTTCGAAAAGTGGACCACACGAGCACCTACGAAACTTATCTTTGTTTCTCAGTTCAGTATCATAAGTGTTCGAAGACTTTTAATTTAAAAAAATATATATTTCTTTGGAAACCATGAACGTAACACCTTGAACCAGCCCAATGTTAAAATTTTAAGAATCAAGCGTTCACTTACATTTAAAACATTTCTTCGCTGTGCTGTTTTTTTCTCGCAGGGGACTGCGATAACTTTGACAGCGAATGTGGTAAAAGGCTTACACAAGCAATGTGTTCTTCCAGTCGTGAATTAATGGCTAAGAAATGCCCAAAGATGTGCAACTTGTGCGGTAAGTTGGCTTTAATAGGTGTTGGTAAGTGGAAAGCCAGGAGCAAGAAGTCAAGCGAGGACAACAGAAGGCGGAGAATATTTTCCTTTAGTGTCTGCTCAGTGATCTGCGTTCTACTCATCCCTACTTTTCTAATCTTCTACTTTGTAATCTGTATTTAGGATTGAAAACGCAATGGTTTTTAGAAACAGTGTCTTAAAAGTAATAAATCTCACAATTATGAGATGGGCACAGTTGGCTTCTGAAAGCAGCGAAAAAAGGAAGAAATAGCTTAATTCTTTGACGTTCTTGTTTGTTCATAGCGTTACTTAAACCTATCCTAAGTAGCTTTTAATAATACTTTAGTTGGATTCTAAACCGTTCCTCTCAAACATGTTCTTTTTTGTTAAAGAGTGCCCATTGAAATGCCAACATGGTGGAACAGTGATCCTTCAAAACTGTGTTTGCTCATGTTCTTCAGGCTGGAAGGGGACTGACTGTTCAGGTGAATAACATGAAGAAACTACATGATCGTCACCTGTTGTCGGAGCATTACGAGCTTTAATTCTAACGGTTTTTATTTTATCGCTTATCTCAAGGTCAAAGCAAATAACTTTGATTTTCTTTTTTTTTTTCTGTTTAGAGAAGGTATGTCCTCCTGGCTTCTACGGTGAAAACTGTGAAAGTAGGTACCGGTATTATTCATAAAAGTTTGCAGGCTGGTTGTTGCTAAGGTATAGGCAATAGTACAAACCAACATGGACGACATCGACGCTATATCGTGTCTTTCGTTAAAGCACTCTATAGTTACCTTTGCCTGTTTGTTTGCTCCACAATGAACTATAAGGCTGTTGTGATATGAATGTCACGTTACTGGGTAGGCTCCTACGCTTATGTCTTGGTAGAAGGCAAACCAAAGTGAAAACGTATCTTGATTAGAGGAACAAGATGTATTACTTTGCTATTTAACTCAACACGATAGTTTGTCGGTAGAAAAAAGACATCTATCTACAGAAAATAAAAAGATTATTTGCTCGCAAAGAGAATTTTTATGCCTTCTCTCTTTGACCCGGGTTTATTTGACAATCAAAGGGGGACTGGGTTTGGGTCAGGAGTCAATGGCCATTATGCTCGACCCCCTCTAAGGTTTTTGACAAGTCACATGAACTCGCAAGCCATGTGCTTATCATTCGCCTCGATTACTCGGAGTGAGAAGCTGTTTTTGACTATAAGAATGAGTTAATTGACTAAGAATTGATACAAAAAAAGAAAAAAAAAATACGAAGATAATACTAGAAAAAGGCTCGAGGCTATCTTATAAATACGTTAGCTTAGGAACTAAGAGTCTATTAGTAAAGCATTAAATCACTCATGGCTCGAATCGAGAATGCGTAGTTCGATGCATGCGATTTCTCTCGAGGCTAAATACACTGCCGGCCACGGAAAACGTGATCATACTTCAATGCTAACAAATATTTCACAAAGCCCCATGACCACGAGTACACTAAGATTTGATACACTATCCTTGAAACTGTTTTAGATCGATGGTATGACGCCGCTGGGAAAGACACTTGTGAATGGCGAGTGAGGAACGGACACAGCTGCAAATTACACTACATGAAAGTTGATTGGGCGGCTACATGTGGATACTGTGGTAAGCTTTTTTGGTTTCTCTGTTAATGATAGCTGAGTGGGCTAAAGGTTCAACGACTGACCATAACTCGGTTTATAACGTCCCACACAAGGCCACCAGGTGTATTACTTATCTCCCTAACCGATATGAAAATCTGTTAGGTGTCTTACCCGTTCCCCTCTAAAACACTCCGTTACACATTCACACATTTCCTTTGAAGTGCCGATCAATTTTTTGGAGAGCAAACAACTCTCTCTCAGGAAGGATGAACCAAATTTTTCGGAGAGCAAAGAACTCTCTCTCAGGAAGAATCAGGCCCACTTGAACCTTCCTAAAGTACAATGCATCACTTGAGATTCCAATCAATATCGGGGAAAAAGGAAACTAAAGCAAAAGCTTGCCTTGACTACAAACATAACTACCCGAAGAAACAAGTGCCCAAGCTTCCTTCCCCATTAAGAGCCTTCCACACTAGAAACTGCCAAATATTATGTTTGGAAAGTCGTACATTCAACTTTTAGATGAAGGCAGCAAAGTCCCTACAACACCCCCCACAGTGACAACAGCCCCGGCATCAACTGCGTCGAAACCGAGTAAGTGTCGTTCCCATGCTCATAACCTCAGATATTTTTTTTTTTGTGACAAGCAATTGAACATTACAACATATTTTTAAAAATTAAGGCAAAGAAAGTGTTGGCCCTCAATATACGACCATAACATAGCAGAGAAATTGTTTTCAGTCAATATAGAAGGAACCTTTCTGAGCGTCACCATCTGTGCTGTTCACAGTAAATACTCTGACACCTACACTTTCATCTGGGGTAAAACTATGCGACTATATAATTTAGCTAGGAGTTAACAGCTAACTAATAATGATTGAAATAGACGTTCCTTATTAAAAAATATGACAAAATTGTTATATATATAATGTAAGTGGCACTGAGATTCGTAGAGCTCAAGTCTCCTTCGACGACTTTGGAATGAGGAGTTGGGAGCTATACTCTGTGAGTTGTCGTGTAGAACCTAAGATAACGTTTTGTAATCTCAACCTTACCAACACTTTTCGAGAAAGACTACCTCCCCTCCTATAAGAAAAAAAGCGAAAAACGAGACGGCTTGACTCTGATGATGACTTCCGCACAGGTTGTCGAAACGTCAGTCACCACCACCTACAACAGTCCTTCCCAGGACTACACTCACCCGGACGATCATACTGCACCTTCACAGTTCCATTTGTTCAGTTAACGTTTATTTATTCATTATCTATTGACTTTTCTACTATTCATTCGTCACCTTGCTATTAATTCGCTTCTTTATTTGCATAAATTAACGTTTCTTAAACGTGCTCTTCGGTTTTATCCGCAAATGGTCGTCTTTTCAGAGTGCAATACCGATCTAAATTCTCAATGCGAAGTTTGGGCGGGAAGAGGCGAGTGTGAAAAAAACCCGCAGTGGATGTCACAGAATTGTTGCGTCAGTTGTACACATCATAAGGCACCAAAAGGTACCAACACTGAGTCTCAATGTCCCTCCTTAAGGTGGATAATAGTTTTT